CTTCTTCTTTTAACCATCCATTTAGAAAAGCGCTTTTAACATCCATTTGAAAAAGTTTGAAATTAAGAGCACTTGCAAAAGCTAATAACATACGAATTGATTCAAGCCTAGCAACCGGAGCAAAAGTTTCATCATAGTCAAGTCCTTCAACTTGGCTATAGCCTTTAGCAACAAGTCGACTTTTATTAGTGATAATAACACCATTTTCATCAAGCTTGTTTCTAAAGACCCATTTATTGCCCACAACGGGTCGGGTTTCCGGTCTTTCGACTAGTTCCCAAACCTTATTGCGTTCAAATTGCTCAAGCTCTAGTTGCATGGATATAATCCAATCACTATCTTTTAGTGCATCTTCTACGTTCTTAGGTTCAAATTGACTAACAAACGCATAGTGTGCACAAAGATTGTAATTGTTCCTAGTTCTAACTCCCTTTTCAATATCTCCAATGATAGTGTCTCTTGGATGATTCTTCAAGTGTTTGTATGCCTTTGGTAGTTCCTTCTTTGCACTTTCTTCTTCTTGCGCAGGAATTTCCAGGATTTCCTCTTCCTCTTCTTCTTCATTTGAACCTGCAATTACCTTACCCGACCCAAAGGGATCGGTTTCATCAAATTTTACATGCATAGATTCTTCTACTTTATGATTTGATTTATTATATACCCTATAGGCTCTACTATTTGTTGAATAACCAAGGAAAATTCCTTCATTTGATTTAGGCTCAAATTTGCCTAAATGATCTTTGGTATTCAAAATATAGCATTTACACCCAAAAACTTTGAAATAGGAAATATTTGGTTTTCTACCTTCCCAAAGTTCATAGGGAGTCTTTTTAATAATAGGTGTTGGGTTATGGAACCCAAGGGTAGGGAAAGAAAGAGATATGTGTGTAGAGATGGAGAAGATGATGAATAGTGGTTAGCCTCCCTCTTTCCCCCCCCCCACCCCTTCCCTCTTCCAAGAAGAGGGTATAAACGAGGATCAGGGCTAGGGTTTCGGACTAATGGGCCGGCCCAACAGACTGGGCCGCCTATAGATAAATAATTAATAAACGACTAACAGGCCGGTCCAACAGACTGGACCGCCCCAACTAATATTATACAAAGACCGGATACCCCATGTCCAGGGTATCCATCATGAGTCCCCCACTTTCCAAGCCGAGAGGAACTCGAGGTGAAGTGGAAGTAGAGCAAAATCCACCACGGAAGGACACCGTCTTCCTTGCAGTCTAGAGTGCACCGCCAACTCGCTGTCCCGAGCACGGTGAAGTAAGGCAAGCAACGCCATCAGTCGGAGAATGTGATGCCACCTCGCTGTAAAGAAATTGCATCAATCTGTATCAAGTGTGCTGCCAACTCGCTGTCCAGAGTGGCAAAGCGGAAAGAAACTGTACCCATCAGCATGAAATGCATTGCCGACTCGCTGTCCGGAGTGGCAAAGTGGAAACAAGTAGGGGCAATCAGCACGAAGTGCGCTGCCGACTCGTTATCCCGAGCGGCAAAGTGAAAGGGTCTGCACCAATGAGTACGAGGTGCACCGCCGACTCGTTGTCCGGAGTGGCAAAGTAAAAGAAATCGTAGCACTGAGCAAGATGTGCGCTGCCGACTCGCTGTCCGGAGTGGCAGAGTGAAAGAAATCGTAGCAATGAGCATGAAAGGCGATGCAAACTCGCTGTCCAGAGTAAGGCAAAGGGAAAGAAGTAATAGCAATCATCATGAAGTGCACTGCCAACTCGCTGTCCGGAGTGGCAAAGTGTCAGAAAATGCACCAATGAGTACGAGGTGCGCTGCCGACTCGCTGTCCGAAGTGGCAGAGTGAAAGAAATTGAAGCAATGAGCATGAAGTGCACTGCCGACTCGCGATCTGGAGCGGCAAGGTAGAAAAGTATGGGACCCAATCTGCTCATTGTCTCTAAATGATCTGCTCTCGTACAGAGTGCATCGTCAGTTCGTTGTTCAGCGCACAACGATCACAATAAGAGTGGGTGATGGAGTCGTCATCTGCAGTCCATCTGTCGTCTTCAGGGATCTCCCCATGATCCCGTCAATGTGTGACTCACTGCATGGGGGATGCCTCATTAAAAACTTGCCGAGGAAAAAACCCATGAGAATGGGAAAAAATCATCGGTCAAGAAAAGAGTACATCTCGTCCCACAAAGTGAATCAAGAAAAACATTGAAAAAAGGTGTGGGGTCTTCGAGTAAAGAAACTGTGTGAACTCAGAAGAGGCGCTCTTTGAGTCCGGAGTCAGGGTCGTTTGCCATAATGTATCGCCAAAAAGTGCATGCCGGCACGAACTACCGTAGTGCCACGTTAGATCGAGATGTTGGTCGGCCAAGCTCTCACGATCTGTGATGTAACAATCACGAGCTGAGTACCCGGAGTCCCCCACTCCCTAAGCCGAGGAAGAATTCCAAGGTGAAAGGGAGTAGTGCCCATGCTCGGCTCCAGTGGGAGTCTTTAGTCCTCTCGCTCTGTGGCGACTTCCCTTCATGTAATGATTTATCTGAAAAAATCTCAAACAAATGCAAATAATTCGATGGGCTTGGCCGATCAGCCTGGCCAGGCCGCCCATTCTTAGAGTAATTAAGACTGTGCCCTAGAAAGTGGGCTAGGGGGTGTGCCTTGGGACGGAATTGAAGAGTGCCTCAAGAAGAGGGCTTTGGAAGCCTCGTGAGACGAGGGCTTATATGCCTCGCGAGGTGGTCAAGGCCAACCTCGGGAAAGCAGTTGAAGTCATTCGGGAGATAACTGTAGTGCCTCGTGAGGTGGCCGAGGCCGACCTTGGGAGAGGACTTTTTGATGCCTCGGGAGACGAGGGCTTAGGTGTTTTGCGAGGTGGTTGAGGCCGACCTCGGGAAAAATATGGGGTGCCTCATGAGGTGGACGGGGCCGACCTTGGGAGAGGACTTTTGGGTGCCTCGGGAGACGAGGGCTTAAGGAACTTGCAAGGTGGCCGAGGCCGACCTTGGGAAAAGAGTCAAGTGCCTCGTGAGGTGGCTAGGGCCGACCTCAGGAGAGGGCTTTTAGTTGCCTTGAGAGACAAGGGCTTGAGTGCCTCGTGAGGTGGATGGGGCCGACCTCGAGAGAGGGCTTTTAATTGCCTTGGGAGACAAGGGCTTGAGTGCCTCGGGAAGTGGATGGGACCGACCTTGGGAGAGGGCTTTTGAGTGCCTCGGGAGACGAGGGCTTAAGCAACTTGCAAGGTGGCCGAGGCCGACCTTGGGAAAAGAGTCAACTGCCTCGTGAGGTGGCTAGGGCCGACCTCAGGAGAGGGCTTTTAGTTGCCTTGGGAGACAAGGGCTTGAGTGCCTCGTGAGGTGGATGGGGCCGACCTCGGGAGAGGGCTTTTAATTGCCTTGGGAGACAAGGGCTTAAGTTCTTTGCGAGGCGGCTAAGACCGGCCTCGGGAAAAGAGTGAAATTATGTGGCATCCGTGAACTCTGCTAGGCGGGCTCAGTTGCAAATGTCATGTGGTCTTCCGCTTTGTACCTGAAAGACAAAATATGAAAAATTCCTTCGTTGCTGTTGTTTTTTTTGGGCGACGTGGCGCCGATGACGCGTGGTAGCGTAGAAGTGCGATCTCAGCAGATCTAATATTTGTCCTAAGCAGGACTGGCAAGATTTTGTCCTAAGCAGGACCTTGCAATACCCTCCGGAGGGATTTGCTCGCGCAATGACGAGGACCGCGTGAGGCCATATCGTGGCGTGGAAGCCCGATGATGCACAGCTGCATAAAGTCGCGTAGAAGCGAACATGAAGTTGCATGGAAGCAATATTTTTTTTATTTCTCTTTTTCTTTTCTTTTCTTTTTGACGAAAAACCCAAGTCGTAGAAGCAAAGTGGCACAAATCTGAGTAGGAAACATTAAGATAACGGGCAGGTATGTATCCGAGCTAAACCATGAAGGCGGGTCCCAGCCCGATGATATCAAAAGTGATGGAGATCATCGCAGTCGGATATCAGAACATGTATTTTGCCAAACGAAGAGAAGAATGGGACAAAATTCACAAGCCCCCTCAAGTTATTTGGAATCAGAACTGGCACCCGGCTAAACGTAGTACACTCGGCATCAGCAGACTCGATTGGCTAAGACCGCTACCGCTGAATTGGATCTTACAATACTGCCGCACGAACTCGGCTTATCCTGATCTCGCACTCGGACCCGGTCACCATCCCATGCTCAGATTGAGCCCCACTAGAAATTATGAGCTCGGCCTTCGGAGTTGTCACGCACTCGGTCGTATGAGATTTTGACTCAGATGCATAAGAGGGAGGGTGAAAAACAGGGAATCTTCTCAGAACCCGGGTAAAGAAACCAAATAGGTGACGATGAACGTCGGGCATCTCTCCTCGAGATTGCCCCAAACAGCGAACCCCAATTAACAAATCCCCTTTCGGATACTTGCCAGTGCATCAGTTTCAGTAGATATGCACCAAATTGTAGTGAACATGAAATGAGTGTGGATCCCAATTCTCAACCACGATTCCCAGCTCCCCGTGTATGTATGCATGTGCTCCTCTTTTTTTTTGACAACTAGCCTTTTACATTTGAGCATGGAGTATAGTAGTAACAAGTAGACCCACTCTATACCTTTTCCTTTGTTTAAGGGATTATCACAATAAAATAAACTATCCCTTATCCTCCCGAGTGGAATCATCATTAAGGAGTATGGACCTGGGCCTCTTTTTGTTTAAAAAATATAAGGTACTGAACACTTCACAGCTAGAGCACTTCATATCAATAATAATTCTCAACAAGGCATGCGTGTGTAGGTAACCAATAAATCTGTTTTTTAAAAGGTACGGAGTAAAAAGTGATAACCACTTGCCTGACCTTATGGGCTGGAATGCAGAACGCCGACCCTTCGTGTTTAGCTACCGTACAAGGTGAGACTAAAGTCCAGCAAACATGGTGGTGATTGACGGTGGTCCTGCGCTCCATCGAAATTAGATTCGCCCCTTTCCTTTTTGATATCTCCCAAATCAAAATCAGATCTACAGCATAGATTTCTGCTCTCTGTCATGGTCTATCTGGCTAAAACGGTGCAGCCGGTGTAGGAGCTTCACCGGTGCTGGTCGCTGCAACAGAAGGTTCTGTTGCCCGCCGGTGGTCATCAGCGAGAGGCTAGGACAGCATAAGGTCTGCCCGGATGAGACTAAAAATAACCGTGTGCCTCCTCCTACTGACATCACTGAGGTCGGAATCGAACCTCGCTGCCCGGCCTGCGGTTCGCCGATGGCTGTGAAGACAAGCATTGGACTGAGGGGGAGGTAAATTAGTGAGCTTCCGCAGCGCGAGGCTTCGTATGAGCGACTTTTCACCTGGTTGCGACGGAGGAGCGTACTCAACTCCGTACGTGACAGTGACGGTCATCTCTATCGATGGAGGAGTAAACTCATTGCCCCGCTGTTGCCCAGCTTTGTCGGACCGTCCCCGGCTATGGATGTCGGCGGAATGATAGAATTCTTCCACAATGGTCGGCTAAATGAAATGCATGAGGTCGGATCTGCTCAGGAATCCTTCCACACAAAAAATTGTGGATTGTTTGAATCTCTACCAAGCAAATTGGCGGCCGACAACGAGCCATCTCCGAAGTGCGAAGTGCAAGTGAGCTTCTGTGGCTAGATCTTCATCGCATCTAGGAATACAATTTCCGGAAACCCAAACGGAGCAGGAAAAAGACTACCGCTATGAAAACCGGAGCCACTGAAACAATTGGATCTTGTCCAAGCGTCATCAATAGTGCAGGGGCGCTGCTCGGGTTGGGTTGAAGTTTCTAGAGTTATGTCTCTCATGGCCTGGGCCAAAGGACAGTGATTCGTCGGAGATTGTTCGGAGCTGTCGGACCACCGCTGGGCGCCATTGTCGGTGAATAGAACCTCGCCGGGTTGCGTCTCTCACACCTTCGTCCGAGTAGAGTTAGAAATCCTCCGTTGTCGCTGGCCGATGGCGAAGTGTGGGAGCAATTTGGTGGTGGTGGCCGCTGCGGTAGATTTCCATAGTGGCGGGCGATGAAGATCCGTAGAGGTCCCTTTTCTCAGCTCCGAGTAAGATCCCTAGTATCCGCCCGGATCTGGTCGCAGTTTGACCTCGTGGCTCCGCCCAGATTGGGATCTGCTAGCGGTATCTTGGGACCTGGCATCTTGGATCCGAATCTCCAGGAGCTCAAATCGGCACTCTCAAAATGATTCTCAGACCAAGAGGCCAAGATCGGAACTCTTGGAGTCTGCAATCTGCTTCAGGCCCAACGTCACAGGTCCAGCATTCCCTCACGAGGAGTGCCTCGTCCCATCCCAGAGCCTTTGCACAGTGGGTAGCGTCATCTGCCGGAATTGGAGCACCGCAGGTCCGCGGAGCAGTAGGAGGAAGAACGCTCCCCGTGGCGTGAACATGTGGGGCCACTTTGTGGTTGGGGCATGGGCCTCTCGATGCAGGTGGCGTCCGCTTCTGGTGGGAGGTCAGCGCGGCACCTGAAAGGGCCATAGGCATCGCCGTCTCCGTCACCGGGGGCCGAATTGCAGAGACCCTCAGGGCGGGTGGTGCTGGAAGCTTACATCTCCACGGGTTGTTCATTGGAAGTTCCGGCAGTGGCATGAATTTGGATCCTCAACTGAAAAGAAGAATCGGAAAAAGGAAAAAGAAAAAGAGAGCACGCTTGATGCGTTAGCCTCTCTGAATGAAAGCACCAATGTTGGGTTATGGAACCCAAGGATAGGGAAAGAAGGAGAAATTGTTAGCCTTGGTTTGCTAAGCCTCATGTTTTGATGTTAACAAACAATATAAGAGCTTAACGTTTGTTTAAGTGTTTCAGGAAAAACAAGAATCCATTAAGATTCGGTACTCAAGAATGAAGTCGAAACACTAAACTAGCGTAGAATATAGGTATAAACCAATGTAAGGATATGATTTTATATACCTATATTCACAATTCAAAAACACTCACAAAACATGTTTAAAACCCTTTTATAATCATTTTCAAACATCCAAAAGGTTTTAAACAAAATTGGAAATGATTTGGACAAAAATAAAACAATTGTCAAAATGGTCATAAGGTACCTAGGTACCGTACGCACGGGACCCCCCTACCGTATGGACGGGACCCCCCTACTGTATGGACGGGACCCCCCTACCGTAAGGGGTACCGTACTAAGATAGGTACCGCCAGAGAGTTTTGGCCTGAGAAGGTACCTAGCTACCGTAAGCACGGGACCCCCCTACTGTATGGACGGGACCCCCCTACCGTGACCGTTGGATTACTGTTCCTGATTTGTAATTTTGAATTTAATCAATCCTAATCACCCCCCAACGGCTAATTAACATCTTCCATTATAAATACAAGCCCAATCCTTCATATTTTTTCAAGAAACAAAGCTCTAAACATCCTCTCTTTTTATTCTAAGTGTGTTCGTCCTTTTATTAATAATTTTCAATATTTTGGCTATTTTAAGAGCCTTAAATTCCTGATTTTTATACACACACTTTGAGCTTGTGTTTCTAGTTATATACTCTCATATTCATAAGTTTGAATTGTATTTTTGAGAGAGTATACTTTCCTTCTACACCGGCTAAGTTTTGTTCTTCATTTTAATATTCTAGCCGTTGTGTATAATCTACTTTTGTGTTCTTCAAACACATCTTCTTACGGTCGAGAATAGCCGTCAAATTCTCACGTTGTAACGGTTAAGGATAGCCGTATAAATCCTTGGGTAAAGGTTCAAGGATAGCCTTTGAAATCCTTGGGGGAACGGTAGAAGATAGCCGTTAAATCTTCGTTGTAAACGGTTCGAGATAGCCGTTGTGAAATCTCGGAGTGAATCCTATTGGCAAGGGTTGTTTGCCAAAACTAGTGCGGTGCTTTGACGGAGTTCAAGAGGCCGAGACTTAGTGGATTCGGAAATCCTTGAGGAGGAGCCTCGAGGTACTCGAGTAGGGGTTTCCCGAACCAGTATAAAATCGGTGTGCATTTTATTTACGCTTTTATTTCTGCGTTTTATATATTGCTTCCGCATTTGCAAACACCGTTTTTATCAAACTCCGAAAAGATTTTAAACGCCTTATTCACCCCCCCCCCC